GGAGGGGGTAGATGAGAGACCGAGGCGGGCACTGGAGAGCCAGGGGCCAGGGGGAGAGGCCCAGAGCCGTCGGGGAGGCCGAGCCGGCGCCCCTTCCCTCCAGGGCCCCGCAGGGCCCCAGGGCCCCGCTTCCTGCTTCTCCTTGGGGTCCCAGAGCGGAGGGCCCAGCTAGTCAGCCCACCACCCCTAACCCACGCGCCCAGGGTAGTCGGCCTGTCCCCCAACCCCCGCCTGGACCAGAGTTTTTAAAAAAGCAACTTTGTGTGGCAACCAGAGGCCCTCAAAGGAGCAGCCTGGACCCTGATGCACCCGCCCCAGCAGAGGTGGCAGCAAAGATCCCACCTCCTCCCAGGAAACAAAGCAGGCTGGGCTGCCCGGGGGCCCACAGTGTCCAGCCTCCCCCGTGGGCTTTCCCTAGGTGTGCACAGCCTGTCCTGCCCCAGAGCACGGGCACCTCCTTCCAGACTCAAGCCACCACCTGCTGGACTGTGTGGGCCCTGGGGCCAACCACTGGCCTGCCCAGCCTCAGTTTCCCCACTGCCACCAACTGTGGCCCTCGGAAGAGCAGATGCAGCCTGCGAGAAGGGACAAGGTCGAGACTGGAGTGGCCAAGGCCCGGTCCCTGCAGCGATGCATCACTGTCACCACCTGAAAATCAGCCCTGGTGGCTGGAGTAGGGAGGAGGCTGGCAGCGGGCAGCACCCCTCCCAGCACCCCCTCCAGGCAGCCAGAGAGAGGGAGCCACCTGGCACCTCCCCATCCACACACTGTGGGCTCAGCTCCTGAGACCAGATGAAAAGCAGCTGAGTGGGGGTGGGAGGAAATCCAGGTGAGGGAACCGCCAGGAGCTGTGGCCTCAGAGGCCCCTTGGAGGCCCTGTGCCTCCTACTCAGGGCGGATGACAACGGGGGGTGGGGGGGTCACACAAGGCAGGGAGTGCGACTGGGGCACTGGCAGAAATGGTCCCTGCTAGGCTGCTCCTAGGGAGCTGTGCCAGCAAGGAGACGGGGCTCGGACCCTCAACAGGCTGCGGCCAGCATCTCCGCACCAGCCAGGCTTCAGATCTCACCGGCCAGCTGAGCGAGCCCAAACCTCAGGCCCTTCTCATCTGCACCTGGGTGGCGGAGGCGGCCTGAGTCCAGAGCAGCCTGAGCGGGCTGAGCCTGGAGGGGCCGCTGGGCCAGCCTGGTCAGTGGCACGTGCTCTAGCGCACGGCATGTTCCTTACGTTGCCCGCTCCTCACTGCCCCTAGGAGGCCCCGTCACCCACGTGAGGCCTGTGTCTGCACAGGTAGCCTGGCCAGACAGCTTTATTCAGACCCAGGGTACCGGGCCCTGGGAAGGTCCTGCCAGAAGCCCTGTGGGGCCCCCGGACTGGGCTGTGTCACACTGGTGGCCCCCTTTCCTGGGGTCTAGGAAAAGCTCCATGGGGCCAAAACGAGGGGCTGGGAATTTAGGGTGGGGTTGAGGGTCACACTGGGAAACAGGGACACCCAGACTTGTGATGGGGAGGAGAGGGTGGGTGCAACCCTGGCGTGGGTGCAGGACTGGGACCTGCGGCCGCAGGACACAGGCTACCACTGCTCCTGTGAGAGCCCTCTCCTCCCGAGCCGAGCCCCAGCCCTCCCCGGAACAGAGGCATCCCGGCCTTCAGGCCCTTGCTTCATTGCCACCTCCTCTGGGAAGCTCACCAGGTGCACTCGCGAGCTGGGGAGAGCAGTGGTCTGCCCAGTGCCTATGGAGCATTTAACGTAATGCTGGGCGTGACCGGGCAGAGTNCCAGGCAGCCAGAGAGAGGGAGCCACCTGGCACCTCCCCATCCACACACTGTGGGCTCAGCTCCTGAGACCAGATGAAAAGCAGCTGAGTGGGGGTGGGAGGAAATCCAGGTGAGGGAACCGCCAGGAGCTGTGGCCTCAGAGGCCCCTTGGAGGCCCTGTGCCTCTTACTCAGGGCGGATGACAACGGGGGGTGGGGGGGTCACACAAGGCAGGGAGTGCGACTGGGGCACTGGCAGAAATGGTCCCTGCTAGGCTGCTCCTAGGGAGCTGTGCCAGCAAGGAGACGGGGCTCGGACCCTCAACAGGCTGCGGCCAGCATCTCCGCACCAGCCAGGCTTCAGATCTCACCGGCCAGCTGAGCGAGCCCAAACCTCAGGCCCTTCTCATCTGCACCTGGGTGGCGGAGGCGGCCTGAGTCCAGAGCAGCCTGAGCGGGCTGAGCCTGGAGGGGCCGCTGGGCCAGCCTGGTCAGTGGCACGTGCTCTAGCGCACGGCATGTTCCTTACGTTGCCCGCTCCTCACTGCCCCTAGGAGGCCCCGTCACCCACGTGAGGCCTGTGTCTGCACAGGTAGCCTGGCCAGACAGCTTTATTCAGACCCAGGGTACCGGGCCCTGGGAAGGTCCTGCCAGAAGCCCTGTGGGGCCCCCGGACTGGGCTGTGTCACACTGGTGGCCCCCTTTCCTGGGGTCTAGGAAAAGCTCCATGGGGCCAAAACGAGGGGCTGGGAATTTAGGGTGGGGTTGAGGGTCACACTGGGAAACAGGGACACCCAGACTTGTGATGGGGAGGAGAGGGTGGGTGCAACCCTGGCGTGGGTGCAGGACTGGGACCTGCGGCCGCAGGACACAGGCTACCACTGCTCCTGTGAGAGCCCTCTCCTCCCGAGCCGAGCCCCAGCCCTCCCCGGAACAGAGGCATCCCGGCCTTCAGGCCCTTGCTTCATTGCCACCTCCTCTGGGAAGCTCACCAGGTGCACTCGCGAGCTGGGGAGAGCAGTGGTCTGCCCAGTGCCTATGGAGCATTTAACGTAATGCTGGGCGTGACCGGGCAGAGTCACAGGAGGGGCTGTGCTGCCCAGCAAGACACCGCACAGTGCGGCGGGGCCCTCCAAACGGCCCCTTCACAGACCTACAGCGCTCATCACCATGAGCCTCCCAGAGAGCGAAACGGGGTCACCTGAGCCAGATGGGGGGGTGTCCTGTGTCCTAATGGAGGAGGGGCACCCAGCCTGGCCAAGGTGTGCAGAGGCCAGCAAAGGTGCCCTGTGCACCAGCCCCCAGAGGGTCCCAGTGGCCCAGGGCAGTGGCGGGGTCCTAAATGGAGAGCAGGTGACAGCACCGAGCCCTTGGTGCTTGTCCCGGCAGGTCCTGGGTCCCACTGGGCACCACCCCCATATGCTAGGTCTGGCCCCAGCCCCATCTCATCCGCATCCTGTGGCCTCAAGCAAATGACACAG